CACTTACTTCTTCAGTTTCTCATCCAGCTGCTGCTTATCATTCTCCAAATCCATGATGCTGTCCTGGGCCAGCTTCAGGTCTCCTTCCAGTTTCCTCTTAGCTCTCTCCAGGTCCATGCGCAGTTTCTTCTCTTGCTCCAGGGACCCTTCCAGCTAAACACAACAAGACCATCAGTGCTCTACCAGCCTGATCAGGCTTCAGACCTGTCCTGGTCCTGCTCCATGTCTGTGTACTTACATCATCCACTTGCTGTTCCAGCTTGGTCTTGGCTTTGGTCAGAGTATTGACTTTGTCCTCCTCTGCCTGCAGGTCATCCAGGGTCTGCTGATGGGCCTCTTGGAGGGCTTTCTTCTCTTTTGTCAGCTTCACGATGGTCTCATCCAGGGCTGCCATCTCCTCAGTCAGGTTTTTCACCTACAAATATAAGCATGTTTTAAAATTTGGAAGAAAACATATTCACTGGCTTTGTGTTTCATTTATCTCTTGGATGATCAGAGAAGCCCAGCTCAAGATTTTTTGAAGCCAGCATGTCTTCAAGTTGCCTCTTACTCTGAGAGTCTGTAAAGTCCTGACCCTTTATGTGACTCTCAATGAGTGTACCTTGTTTTCAGTGGCATGTTTTTCCTTCTCCACCTTGGCCAGTGTTAGCTCAAGGTCATCAATATCTTTCTTCAGCTCTGAACATTCATCCTCCAATTTCCTTTTCTTGGCTGTCAGCTCAGCATTAATTTCCTCTTCATCCTCAGCCCTTTCAGTCACCTCCTTGACTTTGGCTTCCAGTTGGATTTTGGTTTTGATGAGCTGGTCACACCTTTCCTCAGCATCAGCCAAAGCATCAGCTTCCTGGTGGGAAAATACAGGAAATACTATTTAATACTGAAGGAAGTGATGTCAGTTGGTAAGACTCACCATTTTGGGGAAAAAAACTTGCTGTGCATTTACATTACAAACTACAAAGCTAGAATAAGTTTTTAGTTAGTTTTCTTCTTACTAGACTTTTTGCATTATTAATACAGCTGTGTTTAGCTACATTGCATTTCACCTTATTTATTTTGGGTATATCAGAAAGTCACATAGATTTAATTTTCCTTTTCTCCTTTAGAAAGTGATTGTATATTATTATGTACTAAATTCAAATTTATGTGGAATGTTGAGAAATGTAAAAAACTCTACCACCGAGGAAATATTTGAAACTCCCATCAGTAGCTTTATAGTCAGCTAATGCTGTCAGTGGACAATAGAATAAGATTCACCTTTCCCTGAAATAGACATTTCAAGTCAAGGGTATTGCCAAAATGTTTTTTATGGTTCTAGGAGGCCAAAAGACACTGGAGACAGATATATGGAGACGATGCTTGTGTTGTAAGTTTTAATGGGCATCTGTGTCTTCTGGGAGTAGAAGGTACAGGAGTTGAGGTGAGATCTGTTATAGGAAATATTAATCAGCTTTTCATTTTGACTACTGAGTTAAGGCAGAGTAGTAGGTCAGTCCATCTACTGTCCCTGCTCCACTAGATACACTACATACAGAAACTACAATAAGGCTTTATGTCTCAAAAAATGTCTCTCATATGGCTTTGTGAATTCACATGGCCACATGGTAGGTATGAAGACTAAAAACTCAAACTATTTTAACTCTAGCTCGCAATAGTAAGATGGAGTGCAGAAAGACTGTGGCCTTAATTTTACCTTTAGTTACATGGTATTAGGCTTAAAGTATTTTAGAAAGCTTAGTGTGTAGATTGAGAGTCCTGTTAGGAAGGAAGAGTTAGATCTTATTTACTCATAAAACTATAGGAAAATGTTACTTACAGCCTGCACTTGTAGCTGCAGGTCATTTTTCTCCTGCACCAGTTTCACCATTTTCTCCTCCAGCTCCTTCCGCTTTGCCTCAGACTTTGCAAGCTCTTCTTTGGTTTTCTCAAATTCTTGTTTCATGTTGGCCATTTCCTTCTCAGACTCTGCACTCTTCAGCAAGGGCTTGATCTTGAAGAACAGCTTCATCCATGGCCAGTGTTTGACATTCATGAATGCACGAATGTTGTACTGGATGCAGAAGATGGATTCCCTGAAAGATAAGTAGAAATAATATTCAATATTTACACAATGATGACACAATAAGCCAAGAACAGTGAACATGATTTGAAGAAAACTCTACCTCCTCTCCACCATTCTCTGGTACTCCACCCTCATCAGGAAGCCCCTGCACCTGGCCTGGGTGCGGGTGATGAGCTGTGCCAGCTTCTCATCCCTCATCTCCTCCA